CCCGGGAAACCCCCAGGGACAGACCTGTAGGGTTTAGGGTTTAGGGCTGGACAATCCTGGAAAACCTGGGAAGAGTAATGTAGGGGCCTTAATAATTACCTATAGTTGTTTCGGGGCTCCGTATAACTCAAATGTAATCTACCCCAAAACCCCATTCTTTTTTTTTTAAAGGCCCCTACATTATAGACTTTTGGCGTACACTGGACCCTAAACCCTAAACCCCAAACCCTAAACCGTCTTGTTCAGGACTTTGCCACACTGGGGATCTATAGTAAATTATAGGCTTTCCTTCCCTTTTTGTGCGGTAACTTAAGTTAAACTGTTAAACTCCTTATCAAGAGCCCAGTACAACGAGAGTTCTAAAGGAATTTTCCAGGGATTCAATCTTCCTTTTAACACATTTTACCACATTTAATGAGTAAGACAAAACTCGTACGGTATCGTGGGGATCTTTGCCCGATGCCGGTAATATAGAGGCCTGAATGATGACCTGTACTATTCCGTAGGGCTACTTGTTACAAGTGTACTATGTCTTACCACGAAATTCCTGAGATTGACCTCATTCAAGTCGTTGTGCGGTCTGGCGGCGTCTGTTTATGTTGTGTTGTAGGCCATGGGTTCAGTGCGACATCAAAGCCCTGAGCTCGAAAGTCCTAAAAACCGACTTCGAAGCCCCAAGCCAGTTTATTCTCCAAGCACTATACACCAGCAAACCCGAAGCACCCGAGGCAAGCCCGAGAGGCCCCCCTTCCCAACAACAACACCCTACTTAAACTACGAAGCCCCTAAAGCCTAAGCCCTCAAAGCCCTAAGCCCTATGCCCCTAAAGCCCTAGACCCCCTGAAGCCTAAACCTTGAAGCCTACAAAGACCGAAGCCTCCTGTTTCTGTTTTCCTTTGGGCCCTGGGTGCAGGGGCAGGCCCTGGTTTGGGGGAGCTCATTCGACGTTCTTAAATCTACTTAGGGTTTTTGGGTTTAGGGTTTGGGGCTTCGGGTCTAGATTTTGGGGTTCAGGGTTTAGTGTTTGGACTTTTGGGTTTTGGGTGTAGGGTTCAGGGTTATCTTAACATGTACTAGAACGGTCGGAAGAATTCGGAGTTCTGTGTGCTTGAAGTCGCTATGCTGCTATAGTACTATGGTATAACCTACCTCCAACTTACACTGATTCGTAAGGCCCCTGTTATAACCTGCGTACCAAGTCGAAAGAGCATGCCAGTAATCTTTGGGAGTCTACAACACCTCACAAACCATCTCCGACAAGCCCCTGAAACAAACCCTCCCTAACCCGAAACCCCCAAACCCAAATCCCTTAAATGCCGAAACCCTAAACCCTTAAAAAAAAGAGAGTAAGCCCTAAACCCTAAACTCTAAACCCTAAACCCTAAACCGTTCATTTATAACCCTAAACCCTAAACCCTTAAAAAGAAAAAAAAGGCTTTATAATTTATAACTATAACCCCAGAGAGCAGTAGGAAGCTGCTTCGACTGGCATCCTCCACAGCGGCTACGGAGGAGGCTCCCTGATTCCAATCTAACCCAAAGGGTCCAAGTACCCATTATTTAAGGACTTTGGGGCCTTTTTGGGTTTAGGGTTTAGGGTTTAGGGTTTAGGGTTTAGGGTACCTAAAACCATAAATAAGGAGTACCTAATAATCATATACTGTCCCAAATAGTAACCTACATAACTACTATCCCAAACCTAAGTACCTGATTATTGGGTCCTTTGGACCCTTGGGGTAAGGGACTCTGCAGCGACGCGAACCTAGCGTCGAGCTTAGTAGCAGAGTAGGTAACCTTGAACCGTTTTGGGTCCTACTGTGGATGATATAAATCCTGCATTGCTTTAAGGACCCTAAACTATCGGAATTATGGTATATTCCTTATTATGGGTAATGCCGGATCTATCTTCATTATCTGTAGTAGCAGAGTAGGTAACCTTTAACCGTTTTGGGTACTAGAATCCCGATGTCATCCCATAGGCTGACTTGTTGGTCTCCCAGGATTATCCCGGGCGCTTAGTTCAGGGTTGCATACGGGTGCTTCAGGGTTTCGAAGGGATTCTGCCAAGAGTCTAGGACTAGAACTTCAGGATCTTGTTCTGAAGTAGATAGGAGCATTCTAAGTTTTGCAGTAAGTATCAGTTTGCGCTTTTCACGTTGGAGTCTCTTATTGAAGCCGGTCATTCGGAGATATGCAACCCTGATTTTTAAGGCTTCTGCGGAGCCTGGCTTTGTAATTTGCAAAAGTGTTTGCGCACAGCGCCTTCGAAAGCTTTCATGGGGTCGGGGGTGCAGGGCGTTCTTCGCTTGGCGGAAAGCCGAAGAGGTTGCCACATGTGCAATGTAGAACCTTGTTTTTGGCTACCCTAGTTTCTTGTTTGAGGTCCGAACCAAAAAACAGTTCTGCAAAAAACATGCTATGCTATAGGGTCTAGGTATCCCTGAACCCAGAGTCCCAACACGATCGCAAATTCCACAAGCATCCTTTGACACAGGCCATATAACTCGTATGGTGATCGTAAGAACCCCGGAAGCCACCACTCTAAGTCGTATTCTGACTTCCTGCACTCAGAGTAGTCAAGGCCCGGCAGAGAGTGTGTGGATGGTTGGCTTGAGCCTGCTTCGCTGCGGCATGACTCTCATAATCTTCCTCTGCATCAACACATCCTGAGGATGCCTGAACCCTAGTCTTTGCAACCTAAATTCTCCACAACCCTAAACCCTAAACCCTATACCCTAAACCCTAAACCCTAAACCCTGAACCCTTTTTATGGCCCTGAGCCCGAAGCCCCAGTCCTAAAGCCCCGAACCCCCCCCGAGCCGAAAGGAAAAGCACCTCAAACCGTGCAGAGTGGCCATGAACCTACACTAAAAAGCATATCAACCCCGAATAAACCCGTGAAAAACGGATGCCCTGAAATCCCCTTCGGAGGCCCGAAATTCTAAATCCTATGTAAGGCCCGAAAGCCTCATACGATCTTTATGTGTGTGTGTAAATCTATGTGTACGCACGCATATGTATATTATATATACACACACGTACATATATATACACACACACACACGTTTGTCTATTTATTTAGTCTCGAAGACATATGTATATATATATATATAACGATCTATTTGTTCATGCATATACATATATGCACACACACACATATATATATATATACATATACACACACACACGTCTTTGTGGCTATATTTCAGAGGACATATATGCATGACTCTGGTTCTCTCTCTCTCTACATATATATATATATACATATATATATATATATATGCATATATATATATATATATAGAGAGAGAGAGAGATTCATATGTACTTGGTGCGCTGGAACAAGAGAATCGACTTTCGGAGGCGTGAATCTCACCCTCCGTGGTTCGGGCTTCAGCTCTGACCCTTCGCATAGCCGAGTCTCCGTCTGTGGGGAGGCAGGGACTCTTTCGTTTCAGGGATTGGGATTTAGGGTTTAAGTGGTAGGTAGGGCCTTATGGTTATGGGGTTGAGGGCTGAAGGTTTAGAGGTCAGGGTTAAGGGTTTAGGGTTTAGGGTTTAGTGTTGACGGTTCAGGGTTCATTGTATGTTGTTCTTATAGGTTCCTAGCCATAAAGTAGCTTATCCCAAGTCGCAGCCGGTCTCGGTCATGAGGGAACGGTACAGAAAGGATCTTGGTTCTTGACGGTGTTGAGGGTGTTTACCAAAAGGGTCCAGGGTCCAAGTGACGAACAATCAGACACTCTCATAAATACTACGTTTCGAACGTAAACCGACGTTCCAAGACTCAGGTATCTGAGTAATGGGCCCTCTGGACCCTTCGGTTTCGGGTTTAGCGCTTAGCGAGCGGGGCCTGCAACTTGGGCTTTTCCGGGGCTTTGGATCAAAGTCGTCGCCCGAGACACGGCTCTATTTGCTGCGG